CATGCAGAATTAGCTGTGTGGATCGTGTTTAAAGGTGGGGAGTCAATGATCTGAATACATGTTTGATTTGTTTACCTGCAAGTGGTATCTCATGCTGTGTTAACAAATGGCAAGGAAATGCTTGGAACTTAGAACCATTTCTCAGAATCCCATCAAAACCACCACTGGCTATATCAGAAGCAGTAATAATAAGCATGACTGAAGCAGACACATAAAAATTCACCTACAAAAATTTCCAATTTGAAAGACTCCTTATGCTGGAGAAAGTTTGCCTGCCAGGATGTGATTTCGGGGAAATGTTGTGTAACACGCCACAGCAAAGATGGCCAACTGTTGATATGTCTGTATTGTTGCATAGTGTATAAGCTGATTAGGAGAAAATGCATCACAGTGATGGCAAACTAAGTCTGAGGTCCACCAGAGAGAAAGTTTATTTGAAGCATCAGTAGAACTAAAGACCTTGTACTCTGTTCCAGAGCATCAGGGATGCCTTATTGGTTTTGTTTGTTGCTTTTTGTAGCTTTGGTAACCTACCAGACAAATACTGTTGAAAATATGATCATAAAAACATTATTTAACCTTTTCAGCAATCTGTGGTCACTTGTCTACTGAAGGGAACCAACAAGGGTGTCCGCTCTCTCTTAGAGGAGAGCCTCACCATCACCAGGGACATGCTGAGAGATGCTCAGCTGGCCTACCCCAGAAACCCAGTAAGACTGTAAATCTTTTACAATGTTATGCCTTTTAATTTTGTTCATGCTGTAATTTAATTTGGCATTACCAGTGTTACAAATACATTATTCGGTAACACTTCCATAAAAGTGCAGTTTTATGAGTTGCTACCATTAATGCCTGTCATCTCTACTTACAGGTCCTGCAGAGCCTAAAATCCAAGACGCTTGACATGGCTCGTGCTCTGCAGAGCTACATGCTTTACCATATTTCTGTGAGTTTCAGCTACACGAGCAGCTACAAACTAAGCCAAATGTCTACTTTCTGCTTTCTGTAAAGCTTTGTTAAAGATTTAGGAAACTAAATCTTAATATTTTTCATAGTCTCCCCCCCCAGAACACCTCTTTAGGACATTACTTGCCATGTGCGACTTAATTGGTGCACTTAGATTTCATGCTGTTCATTATCACTGAAGCAAAATACTGTGAGAAAAACATTTTTTTTCCACCAAGTAACAGCCACAATTCACAGAAATTAAAAAGGCTTGTGCCTCTATTAACTAGAAATGCACTCTATAGCACCACAAGCATTTTACTGACAGCCATAGGTTTGTTTCATCTTCTAGTTTGCTCAGCTCAAACTGAAAAATGCTCAAAATAGAGTAATGATTAATGGAACAAGCATCTGCGGCTTTATCACAAAAACTGCTGGCACTTGCTTAAACCGTGGACTAAAGGCAGAATGCACGCTCAGCCACGCTTCGCTGGATATGTAAAGGTTAAAAACAATGTTCTATCTTGACACAGGCTTAAATGTTACAGATTAATACCCACTCCCACAACAGCCCTGTTAAAGATGCCACTCAGCCTTTATTGCTCCTGTAAAGCTCAATGCTCTGTAAGCTTATCTCTCTGCAGTCATCCCTCGACGATCGTTCACGTAATGAATGTGTTGAATGAAGTGGCATAAGTCACAGCTAACAGGCTTGTTTGCCGTTATCTTAGCCACACAAACTAGCAGGGTTTTTTTTTTTTTTTTTTGTTAAAACCAATAATTGACACATATAAGAGCAGGAGCATTTTGCTGCCCGCAGTGTTATTGTGGCCAAATAAACCTGAGTTATAGCCTGTAACAGCTACTTTCGGGGCGTGCTTTGAGCGAGGCGTGTAAAGCAGCTCTGGACTCGGGTGTGATCATGGATGTAGATGCAGCAGTGAGTGTTCGGTGTAGCAGAGACTTAAACCCCGAAATGTTTGACTTTATAGCTGCCATCTTTCCAGAAAAGGCAGAATAGTGGTTTCAACACCTACTTGAATGGTAACCACAGCTTTTAAAAAAAAAGTTCTAGTATTGTCACCACACCTTATGTGGAAAATGTAATCATAGGAACATTTTTGCCCTTGTTCTTGGCAAAATGTATATATTTTATTTAAGCAAAAACCATTAATTATACAAAGGAATAAGGATTTATAGAAGACCACAATGAGATAAATTCTTAAGCAGCGCTCGTTCAACAGTTATTGTTGATGTACCTTTGAGCAAAGAAGTGCAAAGTTGCCCTGTAGCTGACAGTCTGCCTTACCCTGTTAAATAAACATTTATGTGGTATGCTCTTCCCTTTCGTACTGTTTATTTACTCTGTCTTGTTCCCGTTTTTCGGGGTGTGTTCATGTTTGCAAACAGGAGAGAGAATCTGACCCAGAGGAGGTGGAGGAAGGGGAGGAGGAAGCCTCTGCTTCTCATTTGCAGAGACTGAGAGCTACATCGACCAAACTCTTCCAGTTAAATCAGGCCATAAGACAGCTGCATTCCTCTCTGTCTACAACCTTGCGAGGTGAAGCTTTTGACTCACACATAGCCTGGGAGTTTAGCTGAGTGTTATTCAGAGTGACTTATTAATGTCCCTGGATAACAAGAATGAGAGACTAACAGCATGCTGAAAGAAAAATATTTCTTCTAGCTTTTTGTCACTCACTTTTTTAATTCATTAGTATGGTTTTTTCTGTAAATGCACCACTCCAGTGCAATAAAACTGAAAATGTTCAGCACTAAAAGTGAAATGAGTCAAAATGTTGTAATTCATATGTTTAAGCTACTTTTTTATGTATGATTGCTATATACTATTGTCATACACAGTAATATGGATGGTTGTGACTGGGTGTGTGAACAAAAGCCTCAGTCAAAATGTACCAGGTTTTTGTTGTTGTGGATTCTACTAATCAGTCTGTCATCCTCCTTCCAGGAAAAGACAGTAGTTCTGACCTAAGCAGCTGCAGAGAGCTGATCTCCTCTTCTGCCAAGGCTCTTGACGAGCTGATCACCGGCCTGTCTACGGAGGAAGCGGTGGCCCCGTCCCTGCAGCTTCCCTGTCTTCAGACAGTAATGTCTGCCAGAGACGAGCTCCACTCTGCCCTGCAGTCCTTGTCCTCCTCCTGGAGCCAACAGGGCGTAGGAGAGAGTAGAAGTTCAGCTGGCTCTGACAGCAGTACACACAATGAAATCTTAACCAAAGACAGAGCCGCCACTCACAGTGCTGTTAGAAATCGAGTCGTGAGTAAGATTGTGTACCTCGCTCCAGGTGGGCTGTCCAACGGCAGCCCGCACTGGGTGTAACGCATGTTTGTTGTTATTTACAATGTACTGCCACCATTTTTTCAGGATTTACAGTGAAAATGAACTGTTGGCATTAAGAAAACTTTAGGATAAGCCTCCTGCTGGGTCACGGGTAATTTTTTTGTAGCCTCACATCACAGACAGCAAACACTGTAGAGACTGCTTTAGCGTAGCCATCCACGAAATGCACCTGTACTCACACAGTCTTCTTCACAGCCGGTGCTGAGATGTATCAGAGGTTCCTTCCTGAGTTTGGTAAGACTTTGTGTCTCAGCACTTTAAAGATATTTTTGACACATGACCTGGAGCAAAGACTTCAGTCATCAGAATATGTAGAGTTTAGCAGCATCATTATTGGTGTATGAACACAATTAGAAGAAACTGGCTGAAGTTTGCCAGGCCTTCACTGTTGTACTGTATCTGTCAGATGCCACCAAATTAGTTTTCGTCTGCATTTTCTTATTAATATAAACATGCAGGGTGTCAATATTCAGCAGCCCGGTACGCCGATGTGTAAAAACGAATGCAATACTTTATTTCCATTTTCTGCTGTATATGTTTCTTTATTGTATTAAGACATGTTTTGTTCTCATGTTTGCATCAAGCTTTGCTCTTGTATTTTGTGTAACACATACAATTTGCACTCCGGAGAGACTTGGGGGTTTCTTCTTTATACATGTACTTTGACAGTGTTTTATGTCCTTTTAGTGCTTTGTCTCACTTGGTTAAAAAAAATTATATGTCAAAACAATACAGCTACTTGTACTACTGCAATGACTTCATGTGGCTTAATTTTACAAAGACACAAACCTTTAATCCTGAAGGATACTATTTAATAAACCACGGACTCCTGGTAAAGATGGCATTGGTAATAAAAGGATGTATTAGTAGTGAGAAATGTTACACATGTACACGTTACCTAACTGGGATTTCTTATAGTTGATTTAATGCAGAAATAACACATTTATGCACTTCTTCCTTTGAAGCTAGTGGTATTTTTTCCCCCTATTGTAGGTAGACATTCAACCAAGTGTTTCTATACTTGTTTGTTTTATTTTTACATACGACGTGTGTCAGAAAAGTTCCGGGACTGGTGTCACAAAAGATATATTTCAAACCCAAATTACAAACTACGACCCTTCAGACGATCAACCAGCACGTCTACAAAGAGATCCTGCGGCGTTTGTTTCGCGAGAAGAGGCCAGAGTTGTGGCAGGACAAGTGGTGGCTGCGTCACCATGACAACGCCCTGAGCATCCCACAGTTCCTGGCTGAGATGAACATCGCTGTGCTGGAGCTGATTTTTTTCCTCTTCCCCAAGTTCAAGGGGGTCATCAAGGGGACCCGTTTTGAAGACGTGGACGACATCAAGATGGCTGTGACGACGGAGCTGCGGAGGATCCTGGAAGAAACCTTCCAGGAGTGCATGGCAGAGAAGGCTGGGGTAATGTATTAGACTCCAGGGAGATTACTTTGGAGGGGAAAACTTGTAGTTTGGATTTGAAAAATAGCTTTTGTGACAGCAGTCCTGAAACTTGTCTGACACACCTCTTATAAATTGTCCATTACCTTGATAGATGGATTGACTGTGCAAGCCCAAAGTTTGACTAGACCCATGACCCCCACTCAGAGGCCTCCGTAGGTCCCTGAACCCTACTTTGGTAACCCTCTGTTGGCTGCAAGTTTCCACCCACTCCTCCTCCTCCCCCTCCTCTGTGCAGCCTCCTCTGCATCCTCCCCTCATGCTCTCAGGAGTCCGCTACTGCCAGGGCTACTCTTGTACTTTTGTAAGGGACTAACAGTTGACAGCAAAGAAGAAAACACACTTTGGTAAACTTTACACTCGTGGAATTAAAAGAAGACAAAAGAGAAGAAAGAAAACGCGTAACTTTAAGGAGCGGTTGAATGCTGCGTTCACGGACACGACGTGACTGGAATGAGGAGACGCGCAAGAAAGGGACGAATAATTCAGGTAAAACAATCGTGTTGTTTTTGCTGAATTCAAAGAAGAGACCACAGTACGATGAACTCAGGTTTTATTCCCAGCTAATGAAGCTATTTTTTTCCAGGATGCACTGGTTATTGTTCCCCAGTCTAGGCCTGCTTGTAAGTACCAATCTTTGTATTGACATTTTCTCTCTTGTGGGACACTTTATGTTTTGGCAGCTATTAAACAGAGCTGTACAGTCCCCGTGTATCTGCTTTTCACTGACTAATTTCTCTGTCAACAATTAGAAACTAAACACTTAAATTGGTTATTATTTGTCACCGTGTAACACCCCTTTTTTCCTGTATTAATGAGCCGTTTTTAAATTCCTATTCTTTATTTAAGACTAGGTTTTTCTATGTAATAGAATTATTTTTGCAAATTTGGATAAAAATAGGCTCTGAGTGCCTAAACTAAATTAAAATAACTGAACTGTATGAGTTTTTTTCATGTTTATATATAAAACTGTAAATTACAATGTGAAAGCGTGATAATGGTGTCCTTTATTAAAAAAAATAAAATAAAAAAAAAAGTAATACGACGTTAATGAAATTTACGTTGTCCGCCATTTTGCTAATCAGGTAACCTGCGTCACTGGTGATGAACACTGTCTTCTGTCTCTTTTCATGCCTCCACCAATGAGCTAATCCTAATACTTGTGTTTCAGGTTTGTTTTCACAGCTATGTAAGAGGTGAGTTGCTTTAATTTTAATTTAACACATATCACTAAAGGTCAGCACCATAGATATGGATAATAAAGGCCTTTGTTATTCATATCTTAGTCAGCACAGGTGGCGTCAACGAGTAGCTAACTTAGCTAGTTTGCTAACTTAGCATGCTAACTTGCTAAGTGTTTTTAATTATTTTAATGCAATTTTTTTTTAGGAAAATATATTTATATACAATATAAATATAGCTCTAGATGTATCACTCAGTGCAAGAGGCTAACTAGTGTAAATTCTGAAGTACTTAAAAGAGTTGTCATCCAATTCATATATTATACCAATCACAAGTAAGTTTGTTTGATAAGTAAGCTAACGAATTTTAGCTAACACAACAAAGCTAAACTCCAAGAAAAGCGAAATGCAGGTTCAATTTACCTGCTTGTAGCTTCCTGAAACACACACATGCTCTGAAAAGGTTTGACAAAAAATTCATTACTGTTTAGATCTAACGTGTCAGTCCTACAATATTAAATGGTGGAAGAAAAGTCCTCCCAAGGCTACCTGCTGTAGTCTTGGTTTTCAATATTTTAACCAGAAAACTATCAGAAAAATACATATGAGGACAGTATTTCTGAGAATATGTATAGGAAGCTGTGTGCAAATTAAAGAGGGATGCCTGATAGTGAGACAGCCAGATAGCTTTTAATATTTGTGTTGTCATTGGCTGGGGTCTCGATGCAAGTTTTCGATAAGTGTACATTCATCTACCTGTTTTGTGTAGGTTTTCAATATGCACATTAAAAAAACACTGGAGTAGGAGCACTTTGCTAGCCTCTGATAGATGAACTGAGAAACATGGAAAATTTACATCATCGTTTGGCCGGTGGCTATGTCTGTGTTCTCAATGGAAACTTCTCTGGAAGTCCCGGGCCTTTAAGGGTTGACTGTGGAGGACATGTAAGCATGATCAGTCCACGTACAGGAAAGTCCATGAGTCTGTTTCATACAAATAAATGCATTTTCCTATTATTTCTAACCACTGGATGAACAACAACTGTCTATTTTGCTCAAGTGAATGAAACCTCAATTAACTGAACTGGCTAAAAAAATGTAATTGCTTTTTTTTCCCCTCTCAACCCTTTGGGGCTCTTTGGAGGTACCGAAAATGTATCTATGCAGGGGAAAAAAAACTTTGTGTCCTTAAAACATTTTAACTGACATTCAACAATCTGTCTCACCTGTTCGTCATTTTAATTTAAGTGTGACGCTGCTCTACTGCTAGTTTTAGTCCAGATGCCAGTGCTCTGTAATGTCAGTGATCTGAACAGGATTCAGCAGTTTCAGCCTGAATTATGCTAGTTTTGTCTGGTAGCAATCTCTCTATCGACTTCTTTTTTCTTTTTTTTCTTTTTTGAATAGCCTTTACACTGGAAACCAGAACCCACACATATGACGAGTCCTACTATGAGTATGTACCTGATCGCCTGCAGTGGAAGAGTGCTGGGGAGCTGTGTAACCAGCGCTCTGGGGCCTTAGCTACCGTCTCCAACCCAATGGAGAACCAAGAGCTCACCAGTTTTTTAAAATCACTGAACATTTCCCAGCCTGTGTGGATTGCCAGGAAAGTGGTGACGCATCTGACAAGTAGGTCCAGTGTGCCATTTGTTACACTTTAACATATTAGCACCCTTTCTTTAAAATAGTAGTCTTGTTGTTTTCCTTGTCCAACACACATTTTTGCCTACTCACTCACCTAACAAACAGGGTTATATAAAATTGGACGATGCTGCCACACGACTTTCTTTGCCAGTGTTTGCAAATATTTCCCAATTGTTTACAATAGTGCTGCAAAGTGGGGTTTTATAATTAGCTCTCTTCTTTTCCAAAATTTGTGCCAGGATTTTTCCTTCATAACTTCTTTCTTCTCTCTCTGTTGTGAAACCAAAGGCTACCCCAGGACCCAGATTCTGAATTTCACTGGGCGCTCGGACAGGAAGCATGCCCGTCTCCTGCACAACTTCCCCTCCATGGGCTCAGTGACTGTTTGCACCCACCTCCGCTTTGACCCAAACTGCTCTGGAATTTCCACAATCTTCTCTTATTCCATCCAGTCATATATTAATGAGTTCCAGCTCCGTGCGAACCTGATCCGGGGGAGGCGTGTACAGCTGGCTCTGCTGGTCCATGGTATTCATGGACCTTACCAAGAAGCATTCGACCATGATGACGCCTGGCACTCTGTGTGTGTTTCTTGGAGCCAGACTGGTGGACGTTGGGCAATATATACTGATGGCCTTGTGATCTCTAGGGGTGAAGGTCTAAATAATACTGCCAGCATTGGCCCTGATGGCCTTTTTATTATCGGGCAGGAGCAGGACACCTTTGGAGGCTCATTCAAGACAGACAAATCATTCTCAGGGAGCATCACTGAGCTGCACATTTGGGATCGGGTGCTGAACAGCAGTGAAATATTCACCATGGAAAAGGAGTGCTCACCCATTTCCTCTGGGCTGGTGTTCAAGTGGAGTGGAGCAGCGATGGAAATAGAGCCCTCCCTTTCAACGCTGTGTGGAGACAGCCCATGTCAAGGTACATTAGTTAGGATGCTAACAGAGGGCAGGGGAAGAACTTGAAGTAGCCAAAGTCTATATCAAAGCTTATTTGTTCATCAAGTACAGGAGATAGTTTGCACCACAGAAGACAGGAGAGACTCCAGTCTGTCCACAAGGTCTAGCGGTATAGCTCAGTTTCATTAGTTTTGCTTGATGTTTACAATTAGTTTGGCATTAGGACTGGGTGGGGTTGCTATGCAGAAAAACAATCACATGGAGACCATTTGAAAGTGATTTTTGACTGCTCACTTTTCAGTAACATGCCAGGATCTGAGCTGGCCTGATGTGGTAATCTCCACCCATTTGGCTTTCTGAGCAGGGTAAAATAAATGCAGTGAATACATTGCACATATGTCTCTGTCCGATCTTCCTCTACACCCATATTTACCTCATCATGATGTAATTTACACACATGTTGGCTACAGCTAAAGACACTGACTATTGTGGTTAAAACTATTGTGATCATACAGTTAAATAGTCAAGCATATAGTTACAGTGAAGTAAGCACAGTTATCATTTTTAAAATATATATTTTATGACATAAGCGGAATGAGACTTATTTCAAGAGACCAAGACAATATAATAATTTTGACCAAGCACTATCTGATCTCTTCCAGATCTTCTTTTTTTATTTTATTTTTTTATAAATAGATCTGTGGCAGCCAATCTTTAGAAAATGTCCTGGTTTGTAACCATAATGCATTTAAAAAACATAACTGCTTTCTTTATTAATTGTATTGTATTTTCAATTACCCAAACTAACACTAAGGTCTGTGCTAAGACCTCTCTCCAGTACATAAATGCACAGAACTGGCAGTTTTTCAAATCAGCATTCATTTCCAACTGTATGACTAATAGCTGAATACAAAACCATCGTAAAAAAAAAGAACAGTTATTGTTTTCACTATACTGAATTCCCTATATTGCTGAAGTTTATTGTGCATGGAGGTTTTTATACATTGCAGCTGGTGAGTGAGTACAGTAATAGTGTTGGTGCACACTTTCATACTTAATGTGCAAAGCACAGCTGTATGTCATAGGAAAATCTAACTTAAGTTTAGGTCTCAGCTTTGGCAGATACTTTTTAAATGACTCAGCTGGAGATCAGCCTAAAAGCTTCATCAGGATATCCTTAATCCTTTCTAAAACTGTGAGATGCTTTGGCAAACTCACATAGAGCGACACACACACTTGTTCCCTTTCCAGTATTAAGCACTACTGGAAGACTGAAGGAAAGAGGACATATCTGTTTCTCTCTTCTCCAATGAATAGGGGAGATGATGACCAAGTTGTATTTGGCAAAGACTCAGACTGCTAATGTTTCTTGTAAATGTTTTGTGACTCACATCACTCCGAGTCCCACCCTTCAAAAGAGACCTCTCCCCTTCTGACATCATGGTCCCCAGGGAGCCATGAAAGTCCAAAAGTCTTACTCCATGTCCTGGAACTGAACATGCAGAAAGGATCGCACACTTGCATTCCTTCACTGATTTTCACTTACAGTGTCAGAATTAATTTACCAGTCTTTTAAAGACATACTTACATACAGTCAGGGTATAGTTGTTGGAAGCAAAGCTGTTGCCTTCAATCAGTCAGTTGCAGGACTTTGAAAAACTGGCAACTGCTACCCTGTCAGAGTCCTAAATGTTTCCCTCCCTCTTTCTCTTCAGACCATCTTAGACATACTGCACATCAGTCATACTACTCCTGGAGCTTTGTCATAGATTCAGTCTTTGTGACAGCTCATGTTCTCATAAACAGCCAGTTTTACCAAGGGGACTTCTTTCAAGACCTGAGTGAACTTTTTTTTTTATATACTTCTTGTATTAGGTTTATGTGAGTTCAGAGGTCCTCCATTAATAAAATGTTTTAGTGTTGTTGTTCTTTAAATATACACTAAAGACTTTTTGCTAAAAATAACAACTTTTACCAGATCGTACCCATGATTTTTATTGCATTTTAATAGCACTTTTATAGCTTTAGTAAAGAACTAACAATGACCACGTGTCATGTACTGTAAACCAAAATGAAAGATAAAGGACAATAATGACTAAACCTGACTATATTTGCTGTAAACACAAGCTTTTGGTAACCACAACTAAGTCATTTAAGCTGCTTAAACCAAGCCACATTTTATTTGCTGGAACCACAATATTTTTTTAACCAAACTAACACATTCATGTGCTAACGCAAGACACAGCGGATCAGAAATTGACGTCATTTTGAAATACACTGGCAACTTCCTCTTTTGTCCTAACAGTATTGAATGAAGACGTGGAAACCCAACAGTGACTAAAGTGAGATAATGCTGAGAGAAATAGTTGAAGAAATGTGAAGTTTATTACATAGAAGCACGTTACAAGTGCTGCTCTTGCCTTGACTTTGCAAGATTTGTGAAGCGTAGCAATATGCACAGTGCTTTATGTGTTCCTTTTTCATTTTCAACATTTCTGAATAACCATTTCTCTCTCTCTCTCTCTCTCTCTCTCTCTCTCTAGGGAACCTCACCATGTTAGCAGATTCATTATTGGATTGCCCACTGGATATGAGTTTTTTGCAGAATCAAACATTCCCCTTTGAGTTGATCTACGGCTCTACATCTGATGAGGACTGTGGTATCTTTGACCCTGTTACAGGACGCTGTGAGCTAGCCAAGTGCAACTCATTGAATGGAGCTGTCTGCCAGTTTAAAAAAGGTACTGATAATAATTATGTCAGTGCACTTTTATCTTGATGTAATGTAGTGATTCAGTAACCATAAAAGTACAGCAGTAACTCAACATTATCATGCTATCCAATGCAGATGTTCTGTGGTAAAGTACTACCTTTGTATAATGTGAATTTTTCATTGTTGACGATGTAGTAACATCACAAAAATGATATTTTTTTTTAGGCTGTAATGTTTGGTCTTGCTGAAATAGATTGCATTATATCATGTTATATATTTGTCTCTGTCTCTGCAGAAGGGCTGGATGTTTTCAATTTACCAAAGACACCATTTTTCAGTAGACTGAGCAAGGATCCGTTGACAAAACCTGTGAGTTGGGTGGTTTATCTGACTGCAGCACAGCATCACTTTAACTGTACAGTATGATAAATAACAAGTAATCAGCTCAACAACTTAGATTAGCAGCATGCTCATAGGATAAAAAGACAAAATAATTTTACTACAAAGATTATAGTACTTTATGAAGTTTAAATTAGGAAGGAAACATGTAATGACATGTTAGAGTGAATCAATGCCTTTCAAACAAAATCAGATACCAGTCTGATACCAGACTATGGCATAAAAGTAAAACACTGTCCTCACTAAAATCTTAGCATAATTTTGTGAATCATAATGTTTTTATTTCTACACTGAATGTTTGTCAGGACTGCTCTCACATTTCCACAAGTAAATAAAGCTTCAAACCATGATATATCCGTTCCCTCAGGTGATGGAGGAGCTGAGTGTCAACAACTCTTGGGACGGAGATCTGACGTTGCTGCAGAAGCTGACCCAGGCTGTTGTACATACAGTGGAGACTGGCGGCCCTCATCTCCTGACTTCCAGTGACGTCTTCTGTTTCTCTCAGATGATTGACAAGATGATTGCGCAAGCTAGCACTCACTCTTCAGGAGCCAATGCAGCAGAGGTCATGGTGTCTATTGCTACCAACTACGTAAACATTGCGAATTTGATGCTGGAGCCGCACATGGCTACTCAGTGGATGGGCCTGACGGAGAATGGGGTAAGAGGGTGGTCTGTCTTTATGTGTTTCTGCTGTGGCATCCCTCCCTAAAATTCTCTCAAGATTTAATTTATATGTGTGTTTTGTTTACCTCTCAAATTACTTAAAAAATAACAGGTTTAGTGTACCCGATCACATAATTGTTAACTACTTTAATGAATAAATTAAACAAACTCGACTCTTCAAGCACAGCCGAGCTTTTCCCTTCATTAATCTCTGTCTAAATATCTGTTTTTTTGCCTGTACTTTCTTTGTAGGTCAGTGTCGGGCCATTCACTATTGTCAAGAGCATTGATAATCTCATTGAAGCTCTTGCAGACATGCTGTCTGCTGAGGGAAGAGGCTTTATCCTTTCCACAAAGAACATAGGTAATGAAAACATTAAAATGCACTTTGCAGTTTCTTGTATGTGTATTCATGCTGTTCTGCCTTTTAAAAAAATATATTAGACTTCTTTATCTGCTTGTTTTTAGAGTTATAAAATATGATACACTGATCAGCCACAACATTAAAACCACTGACAGGTGTTGGAAAAAGCATAGATTGTCTCGTTACAATGGCACCTGTCATGGGGTGGAATATTTTAGTGAACACTCAGTCCTTGAAGTTGATGTGTTGGAAGCAAGTCTAAGGATGTGAGCTACTTTGATTGTGATGGCTAGACCAGTTAACAGGTGACAGGGTCATTGATGCCCAAGGCTCAGTGATGCATGTGGAGAGTAAAGGTTTGCCTGTGTGATCCTAACTCACAGAAGAGCTATTATAGCAGGACTTAAATCTTAACAATGATAGAAAGGTGCCAGAACACACATTGCGTATCAGCTTGCTTGTGTATGGGGCTGTGTAGCTTCAGACCTGTCAGAATGCCCATGCTGACACCCATCCACCACCAAAAATGTGAGCATGTGGGCGTTGGAGGAGGAACGTGGCCTGGACTGATGAATCATGGTTTCTTTTACATCATGAAGATGGCCAGTGCAGGTTTGTGTCATTTACCTGGGGAAGAGATGCCAGCCGAATAGACAGTGGGAAGGCGGCAATCTGGCAGTGGCAGTGTGATGCTTAACACCTACCTCAACACTGTTGCAGACCCAAGTGGCAACTTCCATTGAATGAAATGAAAATGAAATGAAATGAAATGAAAAATACTTTATTCATCCCAGAAGGGAAATTCAATTGCTGAACAATGAAGCAAATGCTGAAGTGAATTGCTATTTAAGGCTGTCTCAAAAAGTGATTTGATCTCTATAGACCTCATTTTAAAATGCCCAACAGCAGAAGCAAGCATGTTTACAGCCTGGTCAAAAAACAAAAAAAAAAAAAAATGTTTAGGTCGCTATCACTAATTTCCCTATGACAACTGTGCGAGGCATGCATTTTTATATAAATCACCCATTTAAATTGTATAAAGGCTTTAAGATATGCATTCATTAGGGCTGTGGCCACTCTGAGTGACAGGTGTGTGCTGTCGCAGGACAGTCGATGGCTCGGGGATGTTTGCGTGGCTCGCCTCAGATCAACTCAAGCTCCACCTCTTTGATCATTTTTGGATGAGCTGGGAGTGAGGACACATTTAGAGGTCTTGTGGAGTAAAATGCCTTGACAAGTCAGAGGTGTTTTGGCATGCGAGGAGGCTGACATAATGTTAGGAGGTTCTTTCAGTGTTGTGGCTGTTCAGACTATGACATCAGTAATATAACATCTGTGTTCCAAACATCTGGTAGCTTTTGGTTTCGTAACGCTGATAAGCTTCCATTTCTACTTGTTGTTATATTTAATGTTTTCTTTGTCTCTGCTGTCTTTGTTGTCAGACGTGTACATGAAGTGGCAGAAGCTGTCTCAGGAGAGCTGTAATCAAGTCTTCAAGCCATCTGCAGTTGGCTCTCACAAGCCCAGCAGCACTAGTCTTGATGAGTTGCTTATCCCTGACACTGAGCTCCAGAGGATTCACACACTAGGTAGGAATCACACACGCGCACATACACCTGAAAATGCACTTTTCACAAATACTAACCATAAGTAGAAGGGCCACACACTCCCAATATTAAGATGTACAAATACTGTATAGACACACATTACATGTGATTTGCATGATTTAGTGGATGGACGACATTTACATATCCCCACATAAACGTTTGTTTGCTACAGCATGTATCTACATGTTAATATTGCTCCAAATGTGAAACTCTTATGTTCCTGAATAAATGTACGCCAATACATTTTATTGTAATAAATGAATATTTACGTTGCTATGTTCTGGAGTGCTGAATAACATTGAGCAGACGGGTAAATAAACTATGGAAGTGACAGATATTAATGTGTAAAGTGATGTCTGAAATGCAACTGTGCTGAAACTGAAATGATGCTTAACAGAGTTGTTTGTGTCACTAACGGATAAACATGAAGCTGCTCTGCTTTTCCCCTTTCTTCATTAGGATATGAGGAAGTGATGTTTATTCATACACACTACAGCCATCTCAGTGAGATTGTGTCTGAAGCCAAAGAGCCTGCACTGAGTCACCAAGAGAACTCCAAAAGGTAGGTTGTGACTGTTTTTTCCTAATGTTTTACGTCAAAGTTCTGTCTTTTCTAAAATATAGTCAGCTCACAGAAACAACCTGTCTGAAGCATATTTTATTCACACCTCAGCTTTTCTTGATTTCACTTGATACGTACTTAATTTTATACATCTTTTGTATGTTTCATATTATCTCAGCAGTTCAGAAAATCTGCTTTTACATGCATCTGATCGGGAGGAATCACAACTGTTGACTTAAATATGGATCAGATGGTGGATTCAAATGGTTCAGATTCAGGTTTTCTTGTATTTAGACCTTTGACAGACATAAAGCAGTAACCAATGTCTGCTCTCCCAGAATTGTCCCAGGACATTTAGCCTCTGCGGTCATATCAGCCTCCATCCGTGATTCCTCCAAGACGCAAACCATCCCTGTGGCCGTCCAGTACACCCTCGCCTCATCACATGTGGTACAGTTAATTGTTTAGTAGAATTTTTCATAAATCGTGTACAACTGGACTTTATGACTGATCAGACAATGTTGAACCAAATCCATCTACAGTCATGTGACGACCGTACTTAGTTTAAAGATGTTAATTTGGGTCTGTAATGTTAACATGTTAAGATGGATGCTTTTGGAGTACCGTTTTGCTTTTTTGACATCTTCAAAACATTTGGTGCTGTTATTAAACTGAAATTCATACTCATTAGAGATATTTTATAAAATGCAACCTTTCGTTTGAAATAGTTAAGCTATGCTTTTTGATGAAAAAAAAAAGATTGGTTCCTTTTGTTAAGTGAATGAAGCATGTCATGATACAGAAATTTGAGTCCAAGGTAATAGAGAGAGAAATATGAGTCAAAACATATTGATCACTCAAAGATAAAGGGAACAACACTGTCTGTCTTGTAACAGTGGGTTTAGGATACATTGGATAACATGTGAATGATTGGTTCTTGTAACTGTTGTGTTGGATGCGGGAGAAATGGTTGTAACAAAAAATTTTGACAAAGGCCAAGTTGGGATGGCTCGTTTTTTAACCAGTTGCTGGCACTGACAGTGGTACAAAGAGGGACAAACATAAACTGGCAACAGACATCAGGCTGTTGGAGGCTGTGCTGGCCTGTAGTCCCCCCAACTTGTAGCTTATTGGACAGCATCTGCTGCTAAAGTCTTGGTGCCAGACACCACGGGGCATCTTCAGCCCATGTCTTAGTAAGTTGACTTGTTGGCAAGCAAAGGACCAACGGCGGACTAGGCAGGGGGCTGATCATAATGTTTTGGCTCATAACTGTAAACAGAGAAGGGAAACAAATGCAAACATGTCTTTCTGTTTCTAGGTGGAGTATTCACAGAGAGCTACCCCTGTTTGTGCCTTTTGGGATTTTAGCCTGATGTAAGTTTGACCAACATCAGTCACATAAACAACGTTGATGAACTCATGTTATATTGCGAACGAGATTAAGGAACATGCTGATAAGATATTCTTTTAATCGTGTGATATTAACTGCTAAGATATGACTCTTACAAATGATGTTTCATTCCACAATGAACTGTCCTAAGACAGATAGGTGGTTTTTATTTGTTTCTGGCTTGAAAGAGCATAAACAAGTGACAAAACATGGTAAAACTTTGTGTTAGCGATGGTAATGATGAATTAAATGCTTATAGAGTAAAAGTGCCAGAATTAATCATATCTATACAAAATTACCCTTGAAATTGTCACAAACATTTGAAAAAAATGATGCTCTATTGGTACTGATAATTTCCTGACCTAACGCATTCTAATACACTATCCATTAAGAAGAGCTGATGCAGTATTTCTC